CTCTGTTTTTTGTAGGTATCTGGAGATAGGTAGTTAGAAGGCTGATATTGTATGGATTCGCTATTTTTCTTTACCGCTGATAATAGCTAGGCTAGGTACTAGTCATCTATGTATTTACTTCATGGTTCTAGCTAATTAGGTACATAAACTATTATGTTCAAAATTTCAAGAAATAGATAGGTATCTACATAATGTAAGTAAGTGCATATAGGTCGTTATTTGATGCTTAGTTGGTAGATCGCAGAGGAGTTTCGTAGAAGAGTAGATCTTGAGTGTAATTGACACGCGTCATAGTGAGGTAGATACTCCGTATTAGAAAATCGTAGAATTCCCAGCGGGCGACCTGATGTTGTATACCCTTCATTACAGTAACTAGTTTTCTATTTTATAAGAAAGATCTACGTTACCCTAACCATGGGGTTCTTCAAGAAGGGAGTAATTAGGTTTTTCAAGGGACGGCATGGCGCATGTAATGCCCCAGGTGTTGCAAACGTTCAGACTTCAGAGGCCACGGTAACCGTTTACGGTGGACCGTGTAATATTTTGCCACCATCGTGGTATAAAAAAAAACCTTGTAAGTAACACTCAAATCCTGAAAGGTTACTTTATTTAAATACAATTTGAAGTTGTACTTAATATCGTGCCATCTCTGTCATTTTATAAAGAATTTGTAGAGACAGAACTATACTTAAGCCCGACTTAAAATTGAGTAGCGTTTGAGTATTTGGACATAAGATGCATTGATGCATATTTACCTACATTTACAAAATACATAAATTGCTTATCAGTTAAAGTTCAATGTCAAAATTGACTGCCTCTTTGGCCGAGTGGTCGCAAGTGCGACTGCTGGGCAAAGTATCTCGGGTTCGATTCCCGGGCCGGGCAAAGTACTCCTGAGTTTTAAAAAAAATCTTAGTGGTAGCACCACAGATAACATATCTATGGGTAGCACGGAGTCTGGAATTGTGCCCGGTATATGGCAATCAATAGGCTCACCCCCTATTACATGATTGAAATGTATTCTATCCTACAGGTTACTTACATAAACACGGCTCTACCTTGTGCTTGATTATATTACGCCTTCGAAGAAAACAGCAGACGCAGACGTAATGTTCAACCAGTAAATAGCTTTACATAACAATGACAACAATATAGCCATCGGTTTTCTCTTTAATTAGACTGGATGCGGTCAGTTTATGGAATATGTAGTTATTGGAACGCAATACACTGATTCTTGTTTCCCGAGAATTGATAGATATGTACTATGTAGGTACCTACTCCCTCGCTGCTGGGGCGATTCCCCTCTTGGAGTTTCTACGAATTGTAGGGATGTAGGGAATTATATACAATAAGTATGTAGGTAAGTATAAACAACATCAGCTACATATTTATGTAATGTATTAATATTATAATTAATACCGTATTAGTTATATGCCTATTGCCTATTACGGCTACATTGTGTTTCATGATTAAAACATAACATAACATAACATCACGCCTTTTTATCCCCGAAGGGGTAGGCAGAGATGCACATTGCGGCACTTAATGCTACTGTACAATTTAACACACTTTTAACTATTTGTGTTATGCGTCCCATGTAATAGGGGCACATTTCCAGACTCCGTGCTACTACTGAAATTTTTATAAAACCCAGTTTTAGCCGAGCCTCCTTGCCCGGCAGTCGCACTTGCGATCACTCGGCCAACGAGGCAGTTAAAACCTACAATATTTTTAGATTTATCTTTTGATATAAATACCTATGAAAGAGGTAAATATTGTTCGACACACTATTATAATGTTGGTATATTATCACGATAATAATTATATCACCACTATTGTTGAAACTGGAAAAAGATTCTTACTTATCTTACTTTATCAAGGTGAAAATCGAACTTTGTGACCTGATACTTAAGTAAGGCACTATTTTGAAGTAAACCCGAAGATGTCTGCCGCTTATTTTAGGCATTAGGTACAGGTGTTTGATAATACTTATATTAAAGAAAAAAATGTGTGAAAATTGTGTAAAACAATGTGTTAAACAGAAACGAAGATACCCTCATGTTTAACTGTAAACAGAACTCGCAAACACGCTTTCATTAATATTATTCATATTCGATAATATTTCAAGAATTTCTATATAAAACCCTTATTGTGACCACAACCGCAAAGCGATCGTAATTATTACGTATTGTGAAAATAATTAAATATATTTCGTTATAATAAAAGTGTTTGTATGTACGTATTACGTAGTTATGTAGTCTAGTTAAAATAGGTAAATATGAATTAACTTGTTTGCCAAATAATTTTAAGTTAAATTCATTGAAAATTCAGCTTATTGGTATCAAATTCGAGAAAACCTCTACTAGTTTCGAATCAAACCGGGACTCTTATCTATGGGTTAGAGAATAACTGCACCCATGTACCAGATTCCTGACCGTGGCCGAAGGAGGCGAACTGTTGACTTTCTGCGGAGTCACGATCCTCAATGCTAGGTGGAGGAAGAAAATAAACTTGTTAGTAGATAGTTTCTTATACTATATGAATCGACGACTTAGATCGAACACCTTTTCTCAAGACAATCGTCTTCCAAAGGCGCCTGGTTTTTGAGAAGAAAAGCTATGAAGGTGCTGCTGTTAATGCTTACCATCAGGTGATATATCTACATAACCTTGGATCCCATAATAAAACCTTAGGTAACATCGCGGGACGAAACTTGTAGTATTATAATAACATTAATTAAATACAATACATAACATTTATTGTGGTTATTTTTGGAACCGTAATATCGTCCGGTATTTACTAGAAATGTTTGTCCAAATGGTACTTGCTTTTATATTGTAATGAATCAGAACAGGAGTTCCCATAATTATTTACTTACCTATATATGTAAATAAGTGACGTTGTTTGTTTGTGTTAAATGATTTTGTGTCCACCTAAAACAGGTCATACCAATTGCTTCAACTGGTTGTAATTTTTAGACATATCTTGACACAAACGTGTAATGAGAAAACAGAATGCACTATAGTACAGCGATCTCATTTCGATCACGAAATAGCTGAAAAACAGTAGTTTCCTAAATTTTATTTTAGGTAATGTCCGTCTAGTACATTAACTCGTCGAGTACCGGTTTTATAGACACAATTAAAGAACAATAGGTCGCGGTCACCGGTGACCGCTTGGTGTTTGACAGTTTAATTTAAAACTTTAGACATGTACTTTTTCAAAATTAAATACTTTCGACGATATATTAATTTGAAATATCGTATAACGTCACAGCGTGCCACATTTTGTAGCACGTTATGACGTACCGACCACTCCTAAACTTAGCGCAATTTTATCTAAATATTGCAACTTAATACGAGAAAATATAAAAATAGGTACGTGTCTAATATTTTTTCATTACCTAACTGACGGACATATTAGATTTTTTATTTTGATACCCTGGAAACTACCCAATTAAATATGTATGTAATTAATGCGTGGGCTTTAGGCCTTGTCTGTAGATACAGTAATTGTCTCTTCGAGATGAGATACAGAAATGCTGTGTTTTCACACGGTCAGAAAGATCTAGACTTTTACCTCTACAGATCTATTCTCAAAGTTATGTATGCAATAATTAGGTACTATTTTACATTAATCTAGTATTCTTACATAACATTACGCCTTTTATCCCGAAGGGGCAGACAGAGGTGCACATTACGGCACTTAATGCCACTGTTCAATGTAACCTACTTTTTATCCCTATTTACATTATGAGTCTTATGTAGTAGGGGTGAGCCTATTGCTATATACCGGGCACATTTCCAAGCTCCGTGCTTCTGTTGAGTTTTTCTTTACAAAGAAGAGTTTTTATTTAATAATTTAATCTACATCACATTTGAGTACTTAAGGTAAGCCAAGTATGTCAATTAATTCCTGTACAATGTGGCCTAATTATCTATCGTATCGTTATACATTATATGTAGGTAGGTCATTAATTTAATTACTTCTGGAAACAGCACTAATTACAAGCCAGAACCAAGTTTAATGTTCGATATGATTAATTATGAGAAATGTATTTGTTTGTTATTTAGGTACAATATTTTAATTAAACTAGGTTTTACGTACGATTGTAAATTAGTTTTAGGAATTATAGAGGGAAAAATATTGTGCCTACGTTATATAATTCTATGGAATCATTACGAATTGTTTACATAAATATTCTGTTTTTGTATGTGTTCCCAGAAATTGGAGACTATTTTTCAATGCTTTAGTTAGGTAATCACTTATGTTATCGAGTTTATTATGTTCATAAATAGGATCGAATGTTGTGCCTAATAGGGATATTATGTTAACTTTGTCGTTATGGAGATAAAATCCAGAATTAATTAATTACTTGGGTACACATGCGTGTGGCAAGCACATTTGCATAGTAACTCTTATTAGTTTTTTTTTATAATTATACAAATTTCGCCAATCTGCTGTTTGCGTTTTTAATCAAAACCCCGATTCGAAGTAATAATTTTCGTCCAACGCCATCCATAGGCGTTCCATTGTAGGTACCCCTTCGGGAATAATAGGCGTGATGTTATGTATGTATGCACAGACAACAAAGTCCCAATGGTCCCAAGCCATAGCCAACTTAATAAAATCGTCGTAGGCAGGATAGCACTACAATGACAATGAGAACGAATAAATATTGACAGCCGGATGTGACGTATTACGCTTGAGACGGGTCCATTCGATGATTCGATAATTGGGCTCGCTGCCATTGCAGCGGTAAGTCCGTTCTTTGAGGAGTGGCTTGAGAGACGCTACGGCGTCCTCACCTCCCGCCTGACGCAGGTCCTCAAAAAAATGCACAATGCACACAGGGTCATAAAATAAAACCACCATTACTTATAGAAATATATGTAATTATCAGATTATTATTCCTTAATGATTAATTTGTACTTAAAATATATCCATTGATCAATCATAGGATTGTAGAACTGTATGCAGTTCTGCCTACGTCATGAAATCTAGGAAATTCTTCTACGCTTCCTACTCTTCGAAGCCTCATCATCACTTTCCTCTTGCTCTGCGTCGCTAGCAGCTGCCTCTATAATATCAGTCTCGGCATCATTGATGTCTTCATCTGAGAAGAAATATTTCGTTGTTAGAAAATATAACATAAACAAAAAGACAAGAACGAGACTGCCTAGTGCCTAATTGTTTAATGTGTATAAAGTCATGTCTTTGGCCCATGGGGATGGAATAAACAATGTAATCGACTTTAAAATCAAATAAAAACATACTGTGATACTAAACGTGTTTCCTAATAATTCTATTGTAATTTAAAAATTAACTTTCCACAAAAGTATCACATACATACAAGGAAATCACATAAAATTTCCTTCTCGAGTCGAGAATATACAAAATCTCATTTAATTTTGCTTTTCTATGAACTAACATCACTCCTCTTTCGAACACAGCATATACAGTAAAGAAAATAAACGGAATCCTGTCAATTCTTGGAATACATATAACTATATTAAATCGGCAACCTGATCTCATAATGTCACGAAGATACTATGAGTATTCTTGGAAGTTGCACTTATGATATTGGTAGTAGTATACAGTATGTTTACTTATTTCGTTAAGTAGCCGACAAGGATACGACGTACGAAGGTGATACCGGACATTGACTCGCGTCTGAAACTGTGCACTCTAATAAGTGTTCAAACAATGTTTTCTAATCTATATTGGATCGCTAGTAGTAGTGTAATAAAGGTGGAGTTATGTTTGTTTGTTTATTTGGCTAAAACTTACAATCTATGTATGTACATGTATAAATAAAAATGAATTCCCGTTCATTAGTCTCGCTAAAACTTGAGAACTGAACGGATTTGGCTAAGTTTGGTCTTGAAATGTTCGTTGAACTCCAGCGGTGCTAGCCAAATGCCTTTTACAAGTGTGTCTACTTATAGAATAGATAACTCAATGTATGGGGATGACATAAAGCAAAATAGACAGAGTTTGACACTCTGAGATTGGTAGCCAAATGCACAGGAAAGATTTAAAATGTGAGAAACAGATTTCTTTGAAGCGATACGAAGTTTGCCAGTTGAGCTATTAACAGAATAATATTATAAAAAAAGGTTTTCTGTCACTCACAATCAGATATTTAGAATGATTTAAGTAAATTAATTATAAGTACCGGCTTTCTCACGTAAATATGGAGAAAACCTCCACTAGTTTTAAGTCACAATGGGACTCACTCTCATGACCAGCGTGCGCAGCCTACTCGATGTCACCGCGTCCGCACAGCGGTATTTTTAATTAACTTAGTATATACATACTTATTATTACAAGATTTAACTAATTTTCTAATTACTTTATGGGAAACCTATGTTCAGCAGTAAATGTCTTGTAGCCGATATAATAAAGAAGGATTTCTGTAAACCGCGATAAAGAGTAGGTACGTACGGAAATATTCACACAAGTTATATTCAGTGTGTGTATACGACTTTAGTAATTACTTAAGATTTTTCAAACGGCCAAATGTGAGTGACCTCATCATAAGAGCATTTGGCAATTCATGGAACAAAAAAGACACTGAGATGACATTGAATTTCTGATAATTGTACAAATCCGAGTTATCTTCTAAGAATGCAAGCTACCAACCGCATCTTGATGATTAGCGGTCAAATGCAAATAATAGAACGAATTCTCAAAACCAATCGATTTTAAAGTGACTTTTAGCTGTTAACTTGTCAAGCAGTGTGCAAATATTTATTTAAATCATACAGGACTTTGACTTTGACCCAGAATTTGTTCAAGATTGTATAAACGTCATATTTTTAGATTGCGAAACATGTGAAATGTAACTTCAATTTTGATCATTTTATAAAATATGATCAAGAGTTTCAACGTTTAATTATGACATTATCAGTAAATCCGTAATACTTTTCGAAGACCAAGTGATGGAAGCTGAAGAATTATAAATCTCCCGATCAATTTCGATCATGATGACCAGTCTAAGTAGACTAGCCCATTACGCAAGAGATATTATAGTACACGTGTGTGCGAACACAAGTGCACTCTGTTCCCTCACTCCCTGAACCCGGCGGCAGACCGACACCACCGGAGAAGGAACAGACGCAGGACCTACCGTGACACGTGCGCACCGAGCCACGGGGGCTTAGACTTCCGGACTCTACGAGTCCATAAAATTACCATTATTGGCCCAGGCTAATAATGGTCATTTTATTCAGAATACCATCACCTTCTGGCCGGCGCGCGAATCGATTCCAAGACACGTTGCACAGCAGCGGGTCACCCAACCCACCCCACTTCGTTACATGCATGTAACGAAGTACATGACGTTCTGAAGTTTCTGCCATAATATGCAGACAAGGGATGGAATCTAAGTTTATGGATTGTCACTTAATACTAAAGTTATAGGACATTTTACCTTCTTCTCTAGTTTCATCAGCTTGTTCCTGCGCGTTCAGTACTTCTTGTAACACGGGAGCCTTGATCCTGAAGTCGCGGGCAGTACCCAGGGATAAGTACTGCTGCCAGTTTAACTGCAATAACAAGAGATTTATGTATCGCCTGATAGTAAGCAATTGACCCACGCCACACATGGACACTAAACCCACAACATCAAAGGAATTACAAGTATATTGTCGACTTTTGGGACGAGAGACGAATAAATATCCTAATTATAATATATTTTATAAACAATGGCAATGCTGCAAGTCTCTTGGGCACCCTACCTCACGATAGCGATGAGGAATATTTTTTTTTTGATGCCTTATGTTTAAGATAACATTTTTTTTAGGTGATAATTTAGTTTTAGTTATTTGTATTTTTAGTTGTATATATTTATTCATACTTAAGTTATATAAATTTATATTTTTGTTAAAAAAAGAACTGTTTTTTTAACTTTGACTGCACGGTTGGTGTGGTGGCTGGGCAACGGGCTGCCGTGCAACGAGTCGCGGGTTCGATTTCCGCACGGAACAACACTTTATGTGATCCATAAATTGTTGTTTCGGGCCTGGGTGTCATTGTGTGTGAACTTGTATGTTTGTAAACGGACCCACGACACGGGAGAAAATCCTAGTGTGGGGCAACGTTTTAAAAAAAACTCTGAAGTGAGTGAGCAAAGTAATAAATCCAGAATCTACATTTTATAAACACATGCAGTAAAAAGATCAGCACTGTCCATGAACACCTGAAACACCAGGGGTCGCAGTAGGCACGACCTTTGAAAAAGGAGTTTAAAACCTTATTTATATAATTTTCTGGTTACCTTAGCCTTAGTAGAGAGCATGATGACCCGCTTAGAAAACAGCTCGGCTTCAAGCACAAGCCGCGGTATGAGTTTAGTTTCCCGAAGCAACTTGGTGGCAGTCTCCTTGTTCTGCGAGGCTTCTAAGTACGTGATCAGATTGTCCGTCACCGAAGACAGCTTCTTACCACAAAGTTTTAGGAGACGCTCGAAACTAGACAAAGAAAGGATTAAAAATAGATTATTTAAATACTAAAAGTCTTCCAAAGCCTTCCTTTCCAATAAAAGACTTATTAATATTCCAATGGATTTGTTGGTTGCCTTGTTGGCCGAGTGGTCGCGTGCGACTGCCGGGCATGGGGTCTCGGGTTCGATTCCCGGGTCGGGCAAAGTATTACTGGGTATTTAAAAAATTCTCAGTAGTAGCACGGAGTCTGGAAATGTGCCCGGTATATGGCAATAGGCTCACCCCCTATTACATGGGACTCATAACATAAATAGTGAAAAGTGGGTGTTACATTGTACAGTGGCATAATGTGCACCTCTGCCTTCCCCTTCGAGGATAAAAGGCGTGATGTTATGTTATTCCAATGAACGAATTTTTAATGAAAAATTAAGTAATCATCGCTTTATAAGTGTTATTGAAAAATTGCATTTTCTTTTACCATCCTCATAGCGCCATCTATGACGTGGTACGTAAAGTTTATAACGCATCACCTTTGTAGATTACATTGTAAGTGAAAAATATAAGGCTTTGTTCAATCATTTGGAGATGTCGCTTTACGACATTCGCTATCTTATGAAATGAAGTCTAAAAAAATCGATACTTTTAGAAGTTAGTATTTTTAAAGCAAAGTGCGAAATACCATTAAAATACTCTTGTCCGAAGGTTCAAGTTTATCCGAAAACGCTGCTACACGGTTTCTACCAAATGCGTAGTCCGTTAACTAACTATTACGACACTCCCGGGAGGAGTACGAATGATGACTAGCATATTCAATTCTCTGCACGACCACCACACGGTCATAAAGAACCAAGCAATTGTGCTTTTTTGAAGGGGGAAATCATCGAATTACTTCTCCCGCCTTGGGTTAGGCGAGAGGGAGTGTCAGACTATAATTGACTAAAAACCAACCCGTTCCTACTCCTGCTCTTCGAGTCGGAGCTCCGGCAATCCATTAGACCTTCCGCGGCTCCGTATCGGGCATCAGCCTTATTGGGCCCCATCCGTGGTGGCCTGATGCCTCTTAGAGGCGCGCGCGGAACGCTCGGCGCCGTACGCTCGGATCTGGTTCTGGTCGGGCGGCGTCACAGCTACCCGTGCTCAAAGTCCGCAGACCCGCACTTACTGTGGCCGGAGATCATAAGCAATGATGCCTACCGTACAGTCTGCGCCATCACGGGGTCTATCTGCTTGACGAGCGCGGCCAGCATGGAGTACAGGCGCACGGCGGCGGCCAGCACCCTGTCGCTGGCGGCGCCCACGCTGCAGCGCAGCTTGCAGCAGGCCGCCGTCCACGTCGACACCTGGCACAGCTGTAGCACTACCGACTTGTAGATCTCCGTTAGATCTGTAAGGTTTATAGCAAAATTAAGACGGATCTCTTGATGTTAAGCAATTGATGCCGCCCATGGACACTTGTAATACTAGAAGAGGTACATGAGGAACAGAGAGCTTCATTTACATGTATACCTCGTAGAATCCTCTGGTCCGCAGTATGCACGGCCAGTGCAGCGGCGCCAGTAAGGTCCCTGGCGCGCGCCAGTAGATGGTCGATGGCGCGGGCGCGCGCGGCCAGGTGCGTGCAGACGGCGACCAGTACAGTGTGGCCGGTGCGGGAGTCTATCGAATGGAAGTTTTCTGTCTCCTCCCCTGCTGATGTGTCTTCTTCCTGTGAATAATGGACAGTGTTAAAACTAATATAACGTAACTTAATTTTTGTAAATTACTATTATAAGTTTAGGTTAGGGTTGACTTTGTGAAAACAAAATTTTAATAATATGCTTGCCTCATATTAGTTTAGCATTAAACAATAGAGCTGATAAAAATTGATGTAGGTATAATTATTCCTTTAAGACGAGATGATAATAAAAACTCAGAGCATCAGACTTCCGATTCCTTAAAATCATTATTATTCCATTTCTTTTTAGGATTTACAATCAGGAACTTCGTGCCATCGTCGAACATCGCTTGATCTTCAGATTTCGTAGAGCTCTATCAAGCAACGTTAATAAATCATAATTATACCAATCCTTACATCGATCCTCCCGAGTACAGTGGCGAGTTTGACGAGTAACTCGTCTAGTAGCGCGGCCTCCTGGAGCTCACTGCAGCTGGCCGTCAGTAGGGGGCCTATCAGGGACAGGCAGTCCTGGGTACTCGTGCGGACGTAGTCTTCTAGCTTTACTAGGACCTGGATGTAGCAAGATTACAATTAATAATAATGGTTAAATTGAAATTGAAACTAGTCGAGATCCTTTTTTTTCACTACCTACCTTAATATTAAATAATAATTTTAAATATTTGTACGCCAAAACGGCATAACATGTAGCTCATACTCGTAACTTAACACCATTGCATGTACTCTTGTAATATTACTCATGTTAACGCAAATAAAAAATATCTTTATCTTTATCCTTGTCAAACAGTTACGTGAATAAGCCGAAAACATAATAATTAAATGGTAAATTTTTGGAAAAAAAGTGTTTTATGGCTAAAATTATGATCAATATCACATTTGTAAAGATAAGCCACATATTATTAAAACAATGTAACATAAACTTTTCGCCCAGTTTTTTTGTAAATGCTCTTCTCACGTGGTGGTTTGAGTTTGAGCATTCATCAACACACTTACATCATCACACAAATAATCATCAAGGCGGATTGATGATTTCCAACTTATATTTAGGAGACTTATCAAGAAATAATTAAAATACTCAAGTTGTTTTTTTTTTTTAATTGAGGTCTGTATTATATATTAATTTTTTTTTACTACAGGTTTTTAATGACTGCCTCGATGGCCGAGTGGTCGCAAGTGCGACTACCGGACAAGGGGTCTCGGGTTCGATTCCCGGATCGCGCAAAGTATTACTGGGTTTTAAAAGAAAAATCTCAGTAGTAGCACGGAGTCTGTAAATGAGCCCAGTATATGGCAATAGGTTCACCCCCTATTACATGGGATTCATAACATAAATAGTGAAAAGTGGGTGTTACTTCTGTGTGCACCTCTGCCTACCCCTTCGGAGATAAAAGGCGAGATGTTATGTAGGTTTCTAATAAAAGTGGGGCCGTGTTCAACAGTTAACGTCTCACAATTGATGATGATAATAAGATGTAGCAAACATGTTATAATACGTGTCATACCATTTTTTTATAATTATCTACGACTATATTTCAAGAAAAAAATCAATTTTAACTATAAATGGTCACCATACCCTAGTTTTCAGCGGGCAGGAAGCAGTAGGCGTCTCAAGCAGCATGGCAGCTATCTGTATGAGTAGTCCGAGTTGCTTCTTGACGACGAGGTCCCGTTCATCGGGCACGCTGTCCGCCTCTATGTGCTGCAGTGCGCTGTGGACGTTGTCGAGAATGGTCGCTAAACATTCTGCCGCGGACTCGTTGGAAGCCGCTGAAACAACGATATAGGAATTTATAAAGGTGGTTAAACATAGAAGGTCTAGGCTCAACTTACAGACTATGTCAGTATATTATCAAGATAACAGAGAAAGAATGAGCTTAATAGGATTAATGCAAGGAAGGGGCGAGTTTATAGTCAAACATTACGTATCATTTCAAACTCCATATTTTTGAGAACTTCTAAAACAAATAATACCTTTCCTAAGACAAGGAATTGACGCAGAGATGGCCTGGCACTCAAGCAATCGATTATTCGATGAACGAGAGAACATTTTAATTAACATAACATCATGCATGACTGCCTCGTTGGCCTAGTGGTCGCAAGTGCGACTGCCAGGCAAAGGGGTTCGATTCCCGGGTCGGGCAAAGTATTACTGGGCTTTAAATAAAAATTTGGAGTATGGAATTGTGCCCGGTATATAACAATAGACTCACCCTCTCTTACACGGGACTCATAACATAAATAGTAAAAAGTGGGTGTTACATTGTACAGTGGCATAATGTGCACCTCTGCCTACCCCTTCGGGGATAAAAGGCGTGGTATTATGTTATGTAACATCATGCCTTCTGTTCTTTGACGGGGGAGACAGTGCAATAGTAGTAGGTACTCACTTATAATAGATAAGAAGCAATCCATCTTGAGCATGTAGAGAGGAGAGAACAACAAGGTGAGGCATGTCTTGAACACTTCCAGACATGTTAGCGCTACCTGGTCGTCGAACCCACACATGTTTTGGAACCTGCAATATTAATATTGTAGTTAAAATTTAAGTACTTATTGATCGAATGTAACATGAATGTGTAATAGTTTCAAGTTTGATTTAGTTCGAATATAATAACCTAGTCAACCTGGATGATATTTCTGTTTAAAAAACTCATTAATTGTAAAGATTTAATAATTATATTGTTGTAGCATTTTACTTAGAAAAACCTATTACGACGTTTTGGCCAACGAAGAAATCGAATCCGTGATAAAAATGTTCGGAGCCGCGGAAGACTTAACGGGTTGCCGGGGCTCCGGCTCGAAGTGCAGGAGTAGGAACGGGGTGGTTTTTAGTCAGTAAGAATCTGACTCCCTCTCGCCTCACCCAGGCGGGACAAGTCATTGGACGATTTCCCCCCCTCAAAAAACAAAAAAAAAAGGATAAAAATGTTTTTTTAATTTGACCATTCTCACCTACAAACAGCCTTGTTGTACAGTATCGTGGCGATCCTGACGACGTGCGTGGCGACTGCCTTCTTATCCACGCTGTCGCCGGCCAGCACGGACTGCACGCAGCGCAGGGCCCACGAATGGAAGTCACGACGAGCGCGGATCTGGTTGCGCTGTTCTAACGATGCCCAGCTTACTTCGTCACTGGAATATGATAGGAGAACTAAGGTTTTGACTGCCGAAAACTGTTGAAGACAAATCTTTTTTTTTTCTAATGCGATGGAAATCCTCATTGACTTCCCACGTCGTGGGGACAACGAGGGGGCGTGCCGGACTGTTATCGGCTAAAACCACCGCGGTTTTCCTTCACTGCCTGTGACCGTGACCCGGGTTGCACTTACGGAATCACCACACATTGAAGACAAATCCTCTGCTAACTTCAGTCATCGGTGATCCCCATGGCGTTTAATGTGTTAATGAGGTGTATTGTGAAAGTTACAGGTCGTTTGAGTGAATTTAAAGAAGAATAAGTATTATAAGTAAAAATGTTAAGTAAGCCAAAATTCTATGACAATTTTGGTATTCTAAGGAACCCTGAACAATCGTTGTTAATCGATAATCTGTGTTTTATAATATAATAAGTTTTGTAAAACCATATCAATAATTTGTTTATAGAAAGCAGGTGATTTAGCTTAATTTGATTAAGATTCATTGTCAAATTGACATTCTACAGGAAAAACACAAAAATAAAATAAAAATATTTGACAAATAAATGTGAAAATTACTTAAATTAAGCGCAATATCAAAATTAACATACCTATACAGCAACTCAATAATTTTCTGACAGAACTTGGTGTCCCATAGACACGGCAGTGGTTTAAAAGGTCCGACTTTATCCTTCACCAGGTTAGATAGCTTCACAGGAGCTTTACCCTTCTGCTTTTGCGACTTCTGTGACTTCTGACTCTTCTGCGATTTCACTGTCTCACGCGTCTCATTGAGAGACTTGTTGCCTTTCTTACTTGATTTTGGTAGGACCTGGAAATAGTAGTAAAACATTGCAAAACTATTAATCAACGATCGATGCATCTGGGATCGTAGAAGATATAGACCAAGGTCACTGAGGGGCCTAGGCTCGGCCTAAGCAACACTTTTCGAAGTTTTTGATAACCTGTAATCCTCGGGACAAAAAATAACAACCTGGAACGGCCCACTAGGCAAGCGAAATATAGGAAGACCCACGACACGTTGGGAAGACGATATTAAGAAAATAGCGGGCTCTCAGTGGACTACAGTAGCACAGGATAGAAACAAGTGGAATGCTTTGGAGGCCTTTACCCAATAGGGGTTCTTACAGGATGCAAACTAACCAGCACTAACAATAAATTAACTTTAAGATTTTAATTTACACTAACAACACTAACAGCAAGAATAAAATGTAAAATTACATACCTGTAAGAAATAAATGGCTTTTTTATTTATTTTATTTATTTAATCCTCGGGACGCTAAAAAAGCGTGGATGTGGTTATAGCTTTTGTTTATGAGAGGGCATGTGATGATTAATATAATGACTGTGAAAAAGTTCTGATCACCATTGTCATCTTAGACTACATAACATCACGCCTTTTATCCCCGAAGGGTTAGGCAAAGGTGCACATTAAGGCACTTAATGCCACTGTACAATGTAACATCCACTTTTCACTATTTAATGTTATGAGTCCCATGTAATAGGCGGTGAGCCTATGGCCAGATACCGGGCACATTTCCAGACACCGTGCTACTACTGAGATTTTTTTTAAAACCGGGTATCTCACCCGGTTCCCTAGGCCTAGTCGCACTTGCGACCGTTCGGCCAACGACGCAGACATCTTAAACTAGGTAATGCATAATTTCTTTTTTCGTTTTCTAAGGGCCGATTTTTCCAAAATTTTAACTAAGGAATAGCTTTGAACATTTGACAATGTTTCCATACTAAAAACTATCAAATGTCAATTTCATTATACAGTTAAGATCAACTGATGATTGAAAAATCGACCGTAACAGTGTATAAGGGTGTGTTTACTAATTTGTTGTAGCTAAACAACAGATTTAATGTAAATAGTCAGAGAGATAGATGTCAACATTTTTTTTTGTTTAAAAACGTTGCCCTACATTAGGATTTTCTCCTGTGTCGTGGGTGCGTTAACAAACATACCAGTTCACATACACAATGACACCCAGACCCGAAACAACAATTTGTGGATCACACAAAGTGTTGTTCCGTGCGGGAATCGAACCCGCGACACGTTGCATGGCAGCCAGTTGCCCAGCCACCGCACCAACCGTGCAGTCAATAATAACATAATAATAAAGTTTACCTTAGTCTGTTCCAGGAGTTGATTACATGCTTTGAACAGCTTGTACAGTTTGCTGGCCGTGTCATCGCTGGTGAGGGTCCACTGCATGATAGTGTGGGCTATGAGGGCCTCGTAACAATGTAACGTCTGCTGGACTTTCAAACTCTTCGCCTTTGATTCCGGCGTCAGGTCCGAGAGGTTTGGTTCTTCCTGTTGATAAAGTTTAAAATAATTTTTGTTAGACCAACCATACCGACCATATTTTTGTTATTTTTAACGTTTTTGAAAGAGTAACGAATGAAGTTTTTTGCTCGTTCTTCTCCATTCGAATCTACATTTTGGAATTAGCACATAGCTTCACTGACAGACAGAGTAACAGGCTATTATTTATTTTGTATCTGTTGACGTTTTAAAAGTACGAAATTATGGTTTAATTGAAATAAATGCTTTGACTCGACTATGAATAGAAAACTTTTGCAAGAGGTATGTCAGTTCGCTCTTTTATTGCAAGGACGTTGTTATAAACATAAGTGATGAAAAATATGTGTTAATATTTATAACACAAACTTATACTCTAACAACGAGATAGTCACAAATTAAAGTACCAAATGATTACTTACGTTTTTACGTTTCTTAAATTTTTTCTTAGTAAATGCTTTACGAGATTGAAAAGTCCAATGTTGTGTTATTGTGACAGCACATTTCCAACGCAGTGATTTGGAACTGTGTGTAATATTTGAGAAAACATAAAAAGCATACCTCTAACAATTAAGGTACGACAAATATGTTATAATAAAAATCTCACCATATCAATATCGACGAAGCTGTCAGCATCACACAGTTGTTGCATGACCCTGTTTAGCTTGCTCTTCAGGTAAGCATGGCCTGTCTCCACGGTCTGGCTGGACAGGATGTCCTCCAGGTCCTCGATCTCTGTGGTTTGGAGGAACTGGGCCACTGCAAACAGGAGCTGGCCTATGGGCTCCTGGTGATAGAAGAGGGAGGTGTGAAATTGTGATAGTAATTTTCGTAGTATGTAACTAAAGTATGTGTTAATTGGTGTTCTGATCCTCAGATCAAAATGAGTATTTTAGTTTTTTTTTTAATATACAAAGGATTTAAGAATTGTCGTGGGCGCATTGGTAAACACAATTTGTAGATCGCATCAATAAGACTGTTTAGTTGGAGAACCAATCACGCAACACGTTGCGCTTCAGTCGAGTACCGAGTCCCATCGCCGACCGTACAATAAGATAAAACAACATAACATATCATCACGCCTTTTTATCCCCGAAGGGGTAGGCAGAGGTGCACATTTCGGCACTTAATGTGACTGTACAATGTAACACCCACTTTTCACTATTTATGTTCTGAGTCCTATGTAATAGGGGATGAGCATATTGCCATATACCGGGCACATTTCCAGACTCCTTGCTACTACTAAGATTTTTAAAAACCCAGTAATACCTTGCCCGACCCGGGAATCGAACCCGAGACCCCTTGCCCGGCAGTCGCACTTGTGACCACTCGGCTAACGAGGTAGATAAAACAACCTGTATCAAAAACTAATCTACAGCCGAAAAGTCTACAATACAAAGCCAATACTTAAAGGTATTATGCTGTTATATTTCCCAGTAATTTTACTTACAGTCAACACAACATTAACGCCGTTGATCTGCACGCACTTGTCAATGAGCAGGGAGCCAGCAGTGTCGTCCTCAGGCAGGTACTTGACCAGGTGGTCGTGTAACAACTCTAGAATAGACTCGTGTAACACCGGCTTGTCTTTTGCACAGTCGTATATTTCTGTAAAGAAATTAAAAAATTTTACGACATATCATTTATTTTATGAAGAAGTAAACCAACATATGACTTGATGTCTGTGTTTATCCTACATTTTTACACATCCACAAGGAAACACAAGTCAGAACCAAGCATAATAAAAACAACTTAAGTGTGTGAGAGCCATGCTTCGACGTGAATGGGCCGGCTCGACCGGAGTGATACCACGGCCTCACAGAAGACCGACGTGAAACAACGTTGTGTTGTGTTTCGCCGTGTGAGTGAGGTTACCGGAGGCCCAATTACCCCCCCCCCCCCTTTCCCCAATCCCTGAATCCCTAACAAATTCTCAAATTCTTAATCCAGGAGGCCGGTAACGCACTTGTAACACCTCTGGTGTTCCAGATGTCCATGGGCGACGCCGATTGCTTACCATCAGGTGATCCGTCTGCTCGTTTACCGGCTTATCCCATAAAAAAAACTTACGTGAATACAGTAGTTGTTTGACGAGCGCGTCTTGTACGAGACACCGTCGCAGTATTGATACTACTTCCATACACATCGCCTCGTTGCGGACTCGGGAGGTAACACTTAAATACAAACAGAAAATAAGTATGAATGATGAAAAATAGCCAAAATATAAAATCACAGCGTCCAGTCCTCCAAGTAGTACAAGGAGGTGAATACCATGTCCCACCCATACGTGCCTTTGAGGGCGTAGTACTAAAAATCGAAATGAAAACATGCAACACACATATTTTTCCACACGTAGTTATTATTTACGTTATCGATATCGATTCTAGGTTTGCAAGTCAGTGCCTGAGTGGAACGGAGACCAGATCAAGGCAATTGGGTACTTGCCAACTAGTCAAATTCAATACTTTTTCGAACTGTCAAAAACGACAGTTTTGTATGAATTTTGTACGAGATTGTGTATTGTGACGTCACTTTTTTAGCGCCAAACAGCATACTTATTTGTTAAAAAATTGCTGGAAAAATACTAAAATCAAGTTGGTCATAAAATCAACTAACGAAACTGTGATTATTTTTTAATATTTCATTGTATTGAACAGTCGAAATAATTTATTTTTGATGAAGACAAGTAACCAATAGGCTTATACTTTATTTCATCATACTAAGAATGTACATTAAATAACGGCGAGATAAATAATTGATACGAGGTAACCACAAATTCGAACAAATAAAATTATTATTAAAATTATGAATAGGTACTTACGCATTTCCGTTTTGCGTAGTATGCAGGTCGACAGTGAGCTGCGAGAGGTAGGAGTGTCCGCTGTGCAGGTCGCTGTAGGCCTGCGAGCTACCGCCGCACGCACTCACGCGCACGTGGCGCAGCACCGACAGGAACCCGCTCACCGACAGGCAACGGTGCGGGGACTGTCTGCGGGGGGATGCTTGTGGTATAATATTGCTTATTTTGAGATGGGAGGGAAAACAGACATACTCGTTGATTTGTGGACATTATCATTATTTTTAGGGCCTGTACTCAAAGGGTTAATAGGACTTTTAGTATTCAACTCGTCGAGTACCGTATTTATAGACACAATTGAAGAACAATAGGTTGCGGTCACCGGTGACCGCTTGGTGTTTGACAGTTTAATCTCTGATGCCAATCCATCTGTCTGTTTGTATGTATGACTAAGAACAAAAGCAATTGTTTCTTGCAGTTTTTGTAAAGATAAAAACAAGAATCCTTCATAGGACGGCTGAAGCCTGGACCTGAAACAGTACACTGAATAACAGGAACCAAAAATAGAAGTTCAGTAACATGAATATCCATGTTTTCGTGTGCCAATGGCCAAATAAATACATTTTCTTTCTTTCTTCTTTCTGAATATGTGACAAAAATTACAAGAAATCTTATTGCAAGTGGAAAACATTGTAAAAAAACAATGAAACAAACCTGGAATAAAGTCCTTTTCGGCACACCAGGACAAGCGTATCTCTGATCCTGGTACTGAAGTTGAACAGTGGATGTACAGCATCCAGTACGGCTGCAGGTGCTTTGTATCCAGCTGGAGACGGCTGGCAGTTCTCTAAGATCATGCTCAGTTGGGGACAACGCTCCACTGACACAGGCGTCAACTTGCAAAGCACGTACAGGCATTCTGTTGAAAGAGATTATTTGTGACAGCTTTAAGTATGATAAGCCATAGAGTAAAATTAAATTGGGTACTTTCCTTAATCCAAAATAAATAATTTCGACTGTTCAAAACAATAAAATATTAATAAATAATCACACTTTCATTCATTGATTTTATGACCAACTTAATTTTAGTATTTTTCCAGCAAGTTATTAAGAAAAAAGTATGCTGTTTGACTCTAAAAAAACGTGACGTCACATCATACACAATCTCGTACAAAATTCATAGACAACTGTCGATTTTGACAGTTCGAAAAAAGGATCGAATTTGACTAGTCGGCAAGTACCCAATCACCAATTCACCACCAAGTCTTCCTGTGGGTGTCGTGAGTTGACTAAAGGAATGCATGTTTGACAGAGAGAGGCTGTTCTGCTTCTCAGATAACGTGAACCTTTTCAACTGTGAATCTGCTATTTTCCAGCATTACCTAAAGTTCTTCAAGTGAGAACAAATTTTTGGCATACAGTGGGTTAGTTTATAATACAATTCATTTACTTATATAATAATATAATAAGTGTCCCACACTTATGAGCCATGCTTCGGCACGAATGGGCCGGCTCGACCGGAGTGATGATACCACGGCCTGACAGAAAACCGACGTGAAGCAACGCTTGCGTTGTGTTTCGTCGTATGAGTGAGGTTACCGGAGGCCCAATTCCCTTTCCCTTCCCCAATCTCCCCATTCCCTGAATCCCCAACAATTCCCAAAAGGCCGGTAACGCATTTGTAACGCCTCTGGTGTTCTAGGTATCCATGGGCGACGCCGATTGCTTACCATCAGGTGATTCGTCAGCTCGTATACAGGCTTATCCCATAAAAAAAATCATAGATTAGCTTGCAGGTTTCTTCCGGCCTATCCTGAAATCTGGCCGAATACATTCAGGAATGGAGTCTTGTGTATGACTGATAGCTACTCCCGCATAGTTTAACCCACTGCTCGGCTCGTATCGATCGTAGCGTGATATTTTTGTAGCCTTCCTCGATAAAGGGCTATCCAACAAAAAAACTGCCAGCCTCATTGGCAGGGTGGTTGCAAGTGCGACTGCCGGGCAAGAGGTTCGATTCCCGGATCGGACAAAGTATTACTAGGTTTTTTAAAAAAAATCTCAATAGTAGCACGGAGTCTGGAATTGTGCCCGGTATATGGCAATAGGATCACCCCCTTTTACATGAGACTCATAATAACATAAATAGTGAAAAGTGGAGTTACATTGTACAGTGGGATTAAGTGCTATAATGTGCAGCTCTGCCTACCCCTTCGGGGATAAAAGGCGTGATATTATGTTATGTTATGCCAACAAAAACAAATATTATTCAATTCAAACCAGTAGTTGCAGAGCTTAGCGCATTCAAACAAATAAACAAAACAAAAACTCTACAAGTTCATAAATTAAGTAAAGATATAATACAATAAAAATATACAATACCTGCATACTGCCTCAGCGCGGACTCGGTGCAGAGTTTGTCAGTGAGCTGTTGTAGTATAAAGGGGGCGGTCTCAGGCTGTGCCTTGCTCAGTCGCACCAGTATGAGCTTGCCGTGCGACCAACATGCCGTGGCCGTCGGCTTCGCTCGCGACACCGACAGTAATAGGAACGCGAGGTTGATGAGACCCGCTACAGTCAGCTGACGGTGGTTCTTACTAGAATGATATAAAAATATTGATTTTAGAACATTGATTTTCTCGTGTCGTGGTAGCTTTTACAAACATACAATTTCATGTACACATGACACCCAGAACTTGGAACAATAATTTGTGGAGCACACAAAAAGTTGCTCTGTGCGGGAATCGAACCCGCTACACGTTGCGCGGCAGCCGGATCTCCTGCTACCGCACCAACCGTGCAATGCGAGTTGTTCTTTCATTCCGTATTATAATTTGCGGCAAAACATTTTACATTAATTGTAACTATACTATACTCTATTCGAGGTAGCATTAAACAAAAGTCAAAAAGGTTGTTTTCAGTGTACACTTTATCTAAATCTAAATACAGTATATGCATAATTGCTTTAACAGTTCTTGCTTATAGACAAGCATCCTTGTTCGTTAAAGTAGATATTATCAGTACTTGCAACGTTTTCCATTATTATATGCTTTAGTTATTTATATTTTCGTATGAATGTTCAAATTAATTTTCTTTTTACTTTTCATTGTGCATAATTTTTAATAGGGATCTTGTTTTTTTTGTTTGAAATTAAAATTGTATTTATCACATAAACAAAATACATATTTCATTTATCGATTCAACTGTTCAGTATTTAATTAATATTTAACAATAATCAAAGGTGAATACTATGGGACAAAAACCCACAGCGGACAGAAATGAATTTGTGGAGCTATATGGATAAATGTGTCTATCTATATAAAATAGATTGAAATATATATGTTGTGCACACCTGCTTCTATTAACCTCTTATGTATAATGCAAAAATGAATGACTAGGTATAGTTATCCATAAGCAAATGATGAATAAACAATTGGGTACTTGCCAACTATGAAGTCAAATTCAATACTTTTTTTGAACTGTCAAAACCGACAGTTTCGGATCATTGTGTATTGTGACGTCACGTTTTTTTTTAGTGTCAAACAGAATACTTATTTCTTAAAAATTTGCTGAAAAAATACTAAAATTAAGTTGGTGATAAAATCAATTAACGAAATTGTGATTATTTTTTAAATATTTTATTATATTGAACACTCGAAATGATTAATTTTTGATGCTGGCAAGTACCCATTGGCTTTGACACCATTTAAGTGAGGCACCACGGCGTCACAGAAAACTAGCGTAAAACACCGCTTGCGTTATATTTCAACGAGTGAATCAGGTTACTAGGGACCCAGTACAACACCCAATCCCCAAGAGTCCAGTTACGCACACGTTTGTCTTGTGGCAATAATAAAGTTCAAATTGGCTCCGTGTTTCAGTATATACACATCCTTGGATGGCGCCGATTACTGTCGACTTCTCGTGTGGCGGGCTATCCCATGAAACAAAAACTAAATTCAGTGAAGTTGAAATGCAATAATCATGCTCATGCTTTGACACGTTACCCTTCAAAAACTCTTACAAACAGATTTTAATACTAAGTAATATTAATGCCCACCGCTAATGCTCACCCGACTCGACCCTTCACGACGCTCATTAGATGGCGCTAGTGTGTGATTCTCGTTCATCTTCCAATAGGATATTAGCTAGTGTCACACCATTGGACGTTTAATATTTGACAGTTGTACTGATTGGACAAAGAACCCCAAGCTACTATTGCGTTATCTGCAGCTGTAGCCAAATGCCATTTAGCGCTTGTCTACTTGTAGAATAGAAAACTAAATTATATGGAATTGACGTAAATTTTGACACTTGTCAGTGTCATCCCCATACATTTTGATTTCTACTCTCTCTGTAGACAAGCGTGTTACGCTACGGTGCAATAGACGGCCCAACGGTGTAAATGAGGAACTTTTGTGCATCGCGACAACTTTCCGTACACGAGGCCGAAACTCGGAAAAATTGTCGATCTAATTTCAACCCGTGTAAAGAGCGTCATTCTTGGTACAACATCGACCAATTATCACCTACTTATTGTAATTTTAATTAATTAAAGTTATATTTTAAGAAACAATTTGGTTTCCTTTGCATCCTCCGGCTACAGCCTACGTAATTGGCGCAGTCGGTAGGATACTCGCGGGCCGGTTCGCGAGAGTAAATTGCTAGGATCGCTAATAGTCCTCAAAGTCGCGAGCCACCCGGGTGGTTTATCAAGCACCGCACGAGTATCCGAATCTGGGAGAGCTGCAGCCACAGAGGGGTATCCAGACATCGATACAGTAGAGGTACCATTTTGTGCAAGTAAGTACGCTAGAATCGTTCTAGAGTCGCTTTCCATTTTATCCTTAAGTGTTTCCCTAATTATCCAAGATTTTCCATCCAAGGCAATCTCGGTTATCTAGGTTAGATAGTATAGTAATAGAATTAATATTTTAGACGCTAACAGAAATTTAGAAGCATACCCGTGTGAAAGTAGTAGTTCTCACGCTTCGAATATGGCTGAATCAGTGGATCATATTACAAGGCCCTACGACTGGTGCCGGAATTCGACGGTAACTCGAACGTATTAACTCGCTTTAAATAAATTATGTGATCAACTGGTAAATCAATACATGAGGAACGAGCCAGGTCGTGAATTAATTAATTTGGCATTATTAAATGGAATTTTAATAAAGTAGTAGGGTCGCAGCGAGGTTGATTAATACGAACGGGATTCCAGATTCCTGGGAAGGAATAAGAAGTTCTTTAATAAATAATTGCCGATCAGCGTGATGAAACGTCCTTGTATAATGACTTAGCCCTTTTAACTCAAGGTACGGCAACTCCCCAAGAATTTTATGAACAATGCCAAAATCTTTTAGTACCATTATGACTTATATCAGTCTGCATGAAACGGTAGCCACTACTATTGAATCAAAGCGCACTCTTTATAAAAAACTTACACTACAGTCGTTCTTACGTGGCTTACGTGACCCGTTAGGTTCTCGTATTCGTTGCATGCGGCCTGATACTATTGAAAAAGCCTTGAGTATGTACATGATGAAATGAATACGCTATACTTACAGCAGCGCAATGAACGTGCTCCTGAAAAGAAGTTGCAGTATCAGCATCAGGTTAGTCCGAGATTTCTTATGGTTTTAAGCCACCCGTGCAAACGGCGCCGCCTTCAGCGCACCCGTTTACCTTATCGCCTCCTAGGCCTTTTAATATACCAGGGACCGTCGCGACTATTCACGCCTCAGACTCAACAACCATTGTTGAGGAATCAACCCCCTCAATACCGTGGTCCCTCACGGACTCAACAGATGTTTAGTGCGCCACCACCTAATAATGGACCGCAGAATGTCTTTAGAATGCCAGGCCCTAAGCCTTCCGGGAGTAATTTACCGCAACCTATGAGTGGTGTTAGTCACTACGTTAGCAAACCATTCGCCCCGCGTCCAACCCACGATTGGTCGAGAGCTGGTAACCCACCACCTTCGAATTATTTTAAAACAAAGCAGGTAAATTATAACGATTTTACATGCCCGGTCGAGTATGATTACTACAACGATTTTTACAATACCGATAATTATTATCCTTATGATTATTTCGAAAATTCTTACGAATTTAGTTGCGAGCAACCACAGACTGAAGATACGTACACCATAGAAGAAGTTCCTTGCACTCAGCCTTCTGATAATGAGGATTTTCCGAAGGACTCCAAATCAGACAAATTAAAATAGAAATAAATTTACATACCCAGAGACAGTTACCATATATTCAAATTTCAAATCCCCCGCTCAAATTATTAATCGATACAGGTGCAAATATGTCGTTCGTCAGTCCAGCTGTCGCTCAACAATTCTTTCCTCACGTACCATACAATTACGACCCTTTTGAAGTCACCAATATTCACGCTACTACTAGAACTGACTACTCCATCACTATACCCTGTTTTAAAGAATTTAATGAGTCGGGTGATATTACTCTCTCCGTGTACGCGTTTCACGAATATTTCGACGGATTGATTGGCTATGACTTATTAGAAAAATTAGAATCTACCATAGACTTAAAAAATAAATTGCTAATTACACGGAACTCTAGTAATCCATTATTAATGTATAATTCACGCAACAGCAACCTATACGAAGACATAATACCGGCTAACTTATCTAAATTAATTAATGTCCCTATAAATTCTCAAGACGGTGAAGTTTTCATTCCTGAACAACGAATCTCAAACTGTTTAATAGGCAATTGCATTACAAACGTTAAAGATAGTAGAGGCATAATAGAAGTTACTAACTCATCACGTCATGATGTAATCTTCTCAATGGATCGTCCCGTTAGCGCAGAAATATTTAATATTCAAGGCTTGCATTCTGAACAGTACGATTCCCGTGTTAAAGAAGTATTAGCACGATTACGAACAGAACATTTAAATCCCGAGGAGAAGGCTAACTTAGAGACACTTTGTGCCAAATACGCTGACGTATTCTATATAGATGGTGAACCATTATCTTTCACAAATCAGGTAAAACATTCTATTAAAACTACGGACGAAGTACCAATCTACACTAAAAGTTACCGATATCCTTTTGTACATAAGCAGGAAGTTCAGGATCAAATCTCTAAAATGTTACAACAAAATATTATACAGCCTTCACAATCTGCTTGGAGTTCCCCCATCTGGGTTGTGCCCAAAAAAGCCGACGCCAGTGGAAAAACAAAATGGCGCTTGGTCATAGATTTCAGAAAATTAAATGAAAAAACTATTGACGATCGTTATCCTATACCCAATATTGCTGACGTATTAGATAAGTTAGGCAACTGTCAATACTTCACTACATTAGATCTCGCAAGCGGATTTTATCAAGTTGAAATGAATCCAGACGATATCCATAAAACCGCGTTTACAGTTGAACATGGGCATTTTGAGTTTCTCCGTATGCCAATGGGCTTAAAAAACTCACCATCCACCTTTCAACGCGTGATGGACAATGTCTTAAGGGACCTTCAAAATGTCATATGCTTAGTATATTTAGATGATATCATAGTATTTTCAGTATCCCTCCAGGAACATATGGTAAATTTGGAAAAGGTCTTTCAGAGACTCAGGGAATCAAATTTCAAGATTCAAATGGACAAATCAGAGTTTTTGAAATTAGAAACAGCCTATTTGGGACACATTATTAGCAAAGATGGGATCAAACCCAACCCTGATAAAATCTCGGCTATCCAAAAATTCCCGATACCTAAAACAGCTACTGAAATTAAACGCTTTTTAGGTCTATTAGGCTATTATCGGAAATTTATCCCGGACTTTGCCCGAATAACAAAACCAATGACACAGTGTCTCAAAAAAGGTTCAAAGATTAGTCTAAATGATCCAAGTTATATCAGCTGTTTTGAAAAGTGCAAAACCCTTTTAACTAATGATCCTATCCTACAATACCCAGACTTTAATAAGGAATTCATTCTAACAACTGACGCTTCTAATCTGGCCATTGGTGCTGTTCTATCCCAAGGACAAATAGGTAGCGACAAACCCATATCGTACGCATCGCGCACACTAAATAGTAGTGAGATTAACTATAGCACGATTGAAAAGGAACTATTAGCAATAGTATGGGCGACGAAATACTTCCGCCCCTATCTTTTTGGAAGGAAATTCAAAATTGTAACGGATCATAAGCCATTGCAATGGGTTATGAGTTTAAAGGAACCGAATTCTCGACTTACCCGTTGGAGGTTAAAATTAAGTGAGTATAACTTCACGATCATCTACAAGCAGGGTAAATTCAACACCAACGCGGATGCTCTATCTCGTATCGAAATAAATCACGAGGATGTTAGTTCAATTACAGTTAACCCATCGGAGAAACCACCTTCTCTTACTGGTTCAACCACATTGACAGCCCATACTAGTACCGAAGATCCTATATTAGAAATCCCAATATCTGATGAACCATTGAATAAATTCTACCGTCAAGTATGTCTAGTAGTTGTTGGAGATATTAAAAAACGCCCCACTGTAACCAAACCATTTGACACTCACGTTAAAACCACTATACAGGTATCTGAGTCTAATCTTGAAAGTGATGTTATTAATGCCATTAAAGAAAACGTTAATCCTAAAGTAAAAACCGGACTAATTATTCATCCACCACTAGCTATGTATCATATTATTCCAATTATTCAAAGTAATTTTAAAAGTTCTGCTTTAAATATGGTCTTGACGAAGAAAGAAACAGAAAACGTTAAAGACTATATGAAACAACAGGAAATTATTCGCAATTATCATCAAGGAAAAACTAACCACCGCGGTATAACAGAATGTTATCTTACCTTGTCGCATCGTTACTACTGGCCCAAGATGAAAGAAAGTATCGCAAAATTTATTAATGAATGCAGAGTGTGTGGGCAGGCAAAGTACGATCGAAACCCCGTCAGGCAAGAATTCTCTATAGTTCCTCCTCCAACCAAACCCTTTGAAACTGTACATCTCGATCTGTTCACAGCCGAACATGAGAAATTCCTTACCATAGTTGATGCTTTCTCGAAATATGCGCAAGCATATCATCTCAGAGATGGTACAGCTATAAGTGTCATTCAAGCTCTTCTAACATTTTGCACCCATCATGGCGTTCCATATACTATCATTACAGATCAAGGACCAGAATTTACCAATGCACTTTTCTCGGAATTTATTCGCCTACATAAGATACAGCATCATAAAATACTTGCACATACTCCTAACGATAACGGAATGATAGAACGGTTTCACTCCACGATTCTTGAACATCTTAGGATCCTTAAAATAGAAAAGCGTAATGAACCCGTAGAACATCTCATGCCTTACGCAATTCTAGGTTATAACAGTTCCATTCACAGTTTTACCAAATGTAGGCCCATAGATTTGATCACAGGACATTTTGATCCCCGCGATCCTCTTGATGTCAATTTATCCGAACACTTATTACAACAATACTTAGAGAACCATAAGAAACGTTTAATTCAAGTTTATGAAACGATAAATGAAGCTTCACAATCTCACCGGATTGAATTAACTGAAAACAGAAATAAAAATCGCGAACCTGAAAAGGAATACCATCCTGATCAACAAGTATTCATTCGCAATCCCCTGGCCAGTAGACAAAAGTTAGCTCCGCGTTTTACTCATGATACAGTCTTAGCTGACCTTCCTATACACATATATACCAAAAAGAAGCGTGGTGCTGTTGCAAAGTCTCGCATTAAGAGGAGCCCTAAAGAACCTATATTGTTACAGGATGCTACTCCTCCTAGTACTACTATTCCAGACGACGCAAGGACAAGAAGTAACGATTGACTCTTTAGAAAACGGCCCTGGTATACTCCCCTTTAATTTAGGAACTACCCGAATGGTGTCCCACTACCACTCCTTTCTTAGTTACGTTAATCTAGATAAAATTCAGTATCAAGTTGATTCAATTAGTTTAAAGCTTTCCGAAGTTCGTCCTAGACTAAATAATAAAACTTCATTCTTATTCGAACCACATATAAACTATCTTACGACTAAATTATCTAAAATATATTCGCAATTAAAGACGTTTCAACACGGCCGCAATAAAAGAGGTCTTATAGACGGACTAGGTTCTATAATCAAAAGCATATCCGGTAACTTAGACCAAACCGATGCAATTAAATACAATACTGCTATAAAAACTCTACATGAAAATGAAGAGAAATTAGAAGTTCAAATAAAGCAGCATGTGAGTTTATCAAAAACTTGGATGTTGCAAAACTCTGATTTATTAACCAATATTACCAAAAATCAGGAACGGATAGGCGATGTTTTAAATTCTATGATAAAAAATAAAGACTCGGACTTTACTTATTTCGCCCATATGGCCCAACATCTACTTATTTTAAGTGATAATATAGATAGCTTATTCGAAGCTCTTCATAAGTTAGAATATACCTTAGGTTTTATACGTGCATCGAGCACACCACATACAGTAGTTAGTTTAGCTGAAATTAAGAATATGTTAGTTAAATTAAGGATTTTATATTCGAATGATGAAATTCTTGACTTAGAATTAAGGGACTACTACGATATAATTAGGCTAGGATACTTTTATATGGATAATCAAATAGTTATAGTCTTTAAGATGCCGATTGCCTTCCCTCAAATTTACAACTTCTATAAACTATCCACTATACCTAATAAGAATAATCAAATCCTCCTACCTACCTTACCGTATATAGCAATTTCTGGAAACGATTCTACGTACATGGAGGCTGAATGCCCGAAGGTAAATTCCTTGTACCTCTGCGAAACTAAGACAAGATACGAAAGACCAGATGAACCGGACTGCATCCAGCACCTGATCCTCCACCAGGAACTTCTCCCATCATGCAAACTTACTACAGTCAAATTGAGGAAAGAAGCCGTTGAACAACTAGATGAAAAGCATTACACCATAAATTTCCCACGACCCACAAAGGTGAAGATAGTCTGTAAGCAGGAAATCCACAAAACTCTAGAAGGAAGCTATCTGGCTGTCATCCCACATCACTGCTTTATCAAGACACCACATTTCACTATAGCAAATTCCAACAACCACATTAAGGGATTTGCTCTGGAAATCATACAACTGCCTACATCTAATGAGCTACCGGCGTCAAGGGAGCCACCAGTCATACTAAACTCTATTGCCTTAGAAAATCTGCACTCCATTAATAAGAAGATAATGTTAGAAACTCCAGTAGAATTGAGCAACGTCACCGATATGAGCCTGTACCATACAACTATTCCTGTCTACCTTATACTACTACCGGTGCAGGTGCACTCATTATTGCACTGATGTATCATCAGCAGCGATCACAACATTCTCAGAAGAACCAGTCTTTAGAAGGTCATAATTTAGCAGCTTCTAGAGAGAGTGCTGAATCCCAACAATCAAGGAAGATTAATCCCAGCGAGATTATAATTGACCACAGCAATATTTCATCATCCCTTCCACGCGAGATTTCGAAATAGTTGCTGATCTTCGGGGGGAGGTGTTACGCTACGGTGCAATAGACGGCCCAACGGTGTAAATGAGGAACTTTTGTGCATCGCGACAACTTTCCGTACACGAGGCGCGAACTCAGCATAAATTGTCGATCTAATTTCAACCCGTGTAAAGAGCGTCATTCTTGGTACAACATCGACCAATTATCACCTACTTATTGTAATTTTAATTAATTAAAGTTATATTTTAAGAAACAATTTGGTTTCCTTTGCATCCTCCGGCTACAGCCTACGTAATTAGCGCTAAAGTGGCGTTTGGCTAAAGGCCCAGGTGAGAAAAAAACGGTAGCCTCCATTGCGGACACACATTTGCACATCGATCTCAAATCGACATTGGCGTTGACGTGAATTAAGGATTAATTGAAAAAAATGCTTTGACTTTGATTGATTTTGTGCAGTGTCGTGAACGAGTGTGTGTGTGCGGCGGGCGTAATACACAAACATTCATAATAATATTTCAATGAGGTAGATTTATAAAAAGTTACATTCGACAACTTTGTCATGCTTCCAGTGTATGACAAGACAAACATTCTACCACGCTACTCCAAACACCACAATTACAAGCAATTTTGAAAATTGTAACCTCAACAATGCAATTCTGTAACAAGCCAGGGTCTGAATCAAAGGGTTCAGACCCTAAACCCCTCGGCATGTCAATCACACTCGCAACCACTTTTCTAACCACGACTAACGGATAACCTGATGGTAAGCAATCGGCGCTGCCCATGGACATCCGTAACATCAGAAAAGTTCATCATCATCAACAGCCTATAAGTGGCCACTGCTGAACAAAGATCTCTTCTCGTACTGAGAAGGTTTAAGGATTGATCACCACGCTTGCTCAATGCGGGTTGGCAATTTCAAACTTATAATTAGAAATTATAAGCTCAGGTTTCCTCACAATGTTTTCTTTCATCATTTGTCAGTCGTGTCTAAATATGATATATTATGTACATTCGGAAAAAGTCACATTGGTGCTAGCCGTTGGTAGGTTTTAAATTTCCGTCACATCACGACATAAATAGAAAAATTACAAGTGCGTTTCCGGCCTTTTGGGGTCAGGAATTTGAGGATTGCGGACTTGGGGATTGGCGACGGGGGATGGAGGATTGTGGGATTAGTAAGCAGTAAGCGGTCACTCACTAGAAACCAAAACAAGCGGTTTTCTGTGAGGTGTACTTCAAATTACTATGTGGCAACTACATGAATACTAATTAGAGTTACTGGACTCTACTACAAACTTTAGCACGAATAGGGATGATGATGAAAGAGTATTTAAATGAACCAATAATATTTTTTTCAGTTAGATAATGACAACATATTTAGAAATGAAAATGATGACATTTTTATGTATGTAATCTAGCAGATGGACATTAAATGAATGATTCATCATCCCTATTGCTGTACTTACCTCTCAGTGGTGAGAACTTTGAGTAGACTGACGACGTCGACGTCGGGCGGTAGTACGGCGCGCACCCACGCGGACTCCCGAGCACGGAGGTCGTCCATAATGCGCTGCTCTATCGCTGACTTTACTAACTGTAAATTAAACATAACTTTTATTGTACTTATTTTTTATTGCCGATTAATTACAAACAATATTTATACAAGGTAAATATATAACTGCACTGTTGGGGCAGTGGTTGGACGAGCAACTGCTGTGCAATGTGCCCTGCGTTCATGTTCAATCCCGCACGGAAAAGGCAACCTATCAGGATAGTTTTTGTACAAATACAAATGTTGTTTTATAAATTAGGAGTTCAATATCCGTAAAACATTCAAATCGAACATAGAATCAAATAATACCAGTAATGAATACAGAGACTGCCTCGTTGGGCGAGTGGTCGCAAGTGCAACTGCCGGGCAAGGGGTCTTGGGATCGATTCCCGGGTTGGGCAAAGTATAACCAGGATTAAAAAAAAACTCAGTACTACCACGGAGTCTGGAATTGTGCTCGGTATATGGCAAAAGCCTCACCCCCTATTACATGGGACTTATAACATAAATAGTGAAAAGTGGGTGTTACATTGTACAGCGGCATGATGTACAGCTCTGCCTACCCCTTTGGGGACAAAAGGCGTGATGTTATGTTATTATGAATAAAGAGTATAACTCACATTTAAGCACACAGTTTTGAAATCACCTCCTTTTTCTGACATTGCCATGGCCAAGTCTATGATGAAGGGGGATCTTAACAACTGTGTCTTCGGCCAACTCTTCAAGTGCTTCCGAATTAACTCAGCGTCTGCAGCACCACGCGTGAAGTGGAACATGCAGGTCGACAGACAGCGACTTATCTCCTCTGAGCTGTGGGATGCTGAGAAAAGCACATAGGTTGTATGTTGGTAGGTATGGGTTGGTATTTATTTATGAACTAGCTGTTAGTCACAAAAGGATAAAAGTAGCCTATACCAATACACGCAGCGCCATCTATACCAATTCTTCCCTCGGGAATACCAAAATTTTCCGGGATAAAAAGTACCCTATTATTTAATCCGGAATTCTAATTTTACGTCTGCAAAAATTCAAAGCAATCGGTTCAGAAGTTACGGCGTGAAAGCGGAACAAACAAACAACAAACAAACTCACTTTCCCATTTATTATAGTATAAGGATTTTAAAAAAATTGACGACACATGGTAGGTATGTCGATTGCTGGTTAGATTTGACTTAAAAATTATAATTTGTATTACTGAATTTGGTTCGATGTTTCGTCTCAGAGTAGTCAGATGGGCAAAGAATTGTTAATTTAAGTTTTCCAAATATAGAGTATATTCATTTTGTCAATCTCGTTGGCATCGTGTGTTGTAGTCACAAAAAACATTCATATTGCCCACGAAATATTGGCTGTTTTACAGCCTAAAGTTAAAAATCGGCAATGTTTTGCAACATTCCTGAGATATTGCAACTATCAAATTTTTGAGATACTCAATCAAAGGTCAGATAAATTACCAGACAAACAAAATAATAAATAGGATAGTCGTATAGGTGCTATATATCGGTGTAACTAGTTGTATGCGCGAATTCTTCCGCGTGGAAACAGTAGCGTAATACCTTAGTACATCAGCTACCAATAGAAGTCCTGTCAAAATCGGTCCAGCTATTTCAGAGATCAGCCAGAACAAACGGACCGACAAAAATGATACTTATATGTATAGATGTACAGATGATTCTGTAACTCACTAATATCATCTAAGTCAATAGTGGTGGACTCGGAGTCTTGTGGCGGGGGCTCCAGCTTCGTGTACAGGCGCACGCTGAAGTAGTGGTTAATGTGGGCCAGTACTATCTCCATGTCATATAATCGGCATAATCTGGAATACAATCAACGTTTAATATTATTTTGTGATCTGATCACACACATTTTAGTGATCATTGGTTAGAGACGTTGACTGCCAGTTAATGATAGTTACCTGAGCAACTGATGCAGTAGCGGTGGTATATCATCTGGTGGCAAGTCGTTGAAATACGAACAAAACTTGTTCACGAGCTTCTTGTGGTCATTTCTCGACAATTGTATGTATCTGCAAGTACCACACATTTGCTTATTTACAATTACTTACTTCCTCGCGGTTTTACCCGCTCTGCTCGACTCCTATCGATTATAGCGTGTGTTTTAGCCTATAGCCTTCTTCGATAAATGGACTTTCCAACACAAAAATAATTATTCTAATCGGACCAGTATTTCCTGACATTACCGCGTACAAACAAACTCTTCAGCTTTATATAATTCGGTTTCACCCGGTCTGCTCGGCTACTATTGGTCATAGGTACTAATTCTTATGGTACTACTAGCTTCTACCCGCGACTTCGTACGCGCAATCCCATTTTTTCCCGTTCCCGTTCGTGATTTTCGGTAAAAAGTAAAAAAAAGTGCTGGGTAAAAAGTATGTCTGTCGCCTGGTTCTAAGCTACCTCCCCACCAATTGTCATCCAAATCGATGTAGCCGTTCTTGAGTTATAAATACTGTAACTAACATGACTTTCTTTTATACATATAGATTGATAATGGTAGTTGCTAACATAATGTAAGCTGCTTCATCTATTCAATTGCCTCCTATTGGATAAAAAAGGTATGACTTACTTGAACATGGCAGCCAGTGGGACAAGTTGTTTCTCCAGCCACTTACACTGGTAAAGAGTCTGCACGCACTGATCTTTGAACTCCGTAACAGTTAGATCTGAGCCGCAATGCTTGATTGTGTTATGCTCGCCCAAGGTATTAAAGCACTCAGGTAGTACATATTTCCAACTAGAAATGAAAACAAATACTTAGGCAATATCCTTTTCTATAGTCAGTCAACTTATTTGGTATATAGGGTGTAAAGGGAACGCTTCCGACCAGAAAAAAATATTTCTTAATCGCTTTTGTTTTCATATTATTCATGCAACGTCAGCCTTGAGCTGATGAAGAAGAATTGTTGTAATCACTTGATTACAACAATTATTACATAAAAGAAACATTTAATTACTTTTATAAAACTGTAACTTGTTCTTTACCATCACCTGTCAGCGTTTTTCGGGAGTTTCCGTTTCCGTTTACACTCTGTATAGATAAGAAAATGAAGACTTTCAACACTGAGACAGAAGCTACTATTATATTATACTAGTTACGTCTGCGCGGTTTTACCCGCTCTGGATGACTCCTATTGATCATAGTGTAATGTTTTACAGCCTATAATCTTTCTCAATAAATGGACTATCCAACAGAAAAAGTTTCATGAGTTTCATGAGATTAGCGCGTTCAAACAAACAAACTCTTTATAATATATAATACTAGCTACTTCCGCGTGGTGTTACACTCTGCTCAGCTCCTATTGGTTGTAGCGTGATGTTTTATAGCCTATAGCCATCCTCGATAAATGTGCTATCCAACACAAAAAGAATTATTCAAATCAGACTTGTAGTTCCTGAGAAAAAAACAAACTCTTCCGCTTTATATTAAGGAAAAGCCATATCTTTTGTAATGAGTAGCTGAGTGGCCAATGTTTACTTAATGCTCCAATGTATACTGTCACTGTCTTAACATGCAAATAAAGAGTTTGAGTCTTTATTTTCTTAACTGCATACCACGGCCCACATACTTTATACTCACGTAATATTAACATCATTATCTTGGATGATGGATTGTATGCTTTCATTGGCCCAGCGTACCACATCATCCACAGACAACTTGGGGAACTCCACACATATCCTGCCACACATTTCACTACAGTGAGTCAGAGATACAGCCTGCTTCCTTAAAGTCTGGAGAGTAAGGTCCACAATCTACAAATCAAAATAGTAAAGAATTAAATTCGTAATGGGAATATATCATTTTCCTCTCTACACCGCATGAAAAAATAATTAATAAAGTATTTTTGTTATTCAACATACTAGGAAACATGTCAGAACATGATCCGGCAAAAGTAAAGCGTCATGTTTACCTGCGCCTTTATCTTCGAATTCGAATCCACATTATCAGGAAATCCATTGAGAATGCAGTTTATTGCTTCTCCAAAGTCTCGACATAACACAGTATGTGGTAAAAACTTGATTATCTGAAACAATTACATTATCGCTACCAGTTTTCCATACAAACATTTGTTCGAATCATTTAAATTTTATAAGAAAATACCCCAACCATTTCGACATGCTGCTTACAAAATTCGTATAACTCTACTCTTGGGTGGGCTAGACGTCCATATTCCTTTATTGTACTAATTAATTTGTTGTACTCCATTATGGTTAGAAATGTTTCTTTGTTTACAATTTCACATGTGAGGCCATGTCAATGGCTACGCCAAGCCAAAATATTCAAAAATGATCAAATTCAAAATATCAACAATCAACAATCCACAGATAAAACATGATCAACTGTCAAGTGTCAATATCAAATACCCATATTATTCATCAATGACCCATAGTCTATGGCGGACGGCTCATGTCTAGGGTTCCGGTAGGTTTGCTTAACAAGCTGGCAACACTACGGATTTAGGAGTTCCAGCGCCAATATTTCGTATTTTAAGCATTTTTCACAATAACCTCTAGATAGAAGAAAACATTGTTAACTTTCTAATTTTCCAACTCTAAAATATTGTCGTATAATTTTGCGTTACGAAATGTTCAAAAACATAACTGAATTTTACTACAAATTAATTATGTTTTTAATAAGTTAGTGGCAATTTGCTCAATATGACATGACATCCCCATAACGTCTTTTTTGATGACGTCATCAGTTTATGTTTAGCGAGTGAGAAGTTACGAAATTGACGAATTTCATTTGTTGCGCACGTTTGTGTACAATTTAGTGTACGCGCTTTTATATTTTTAAATCGTAACACACAACACGTACTCATATATAGTATAACGTTCAAAATCGAAGTCCCATGTGTAGTGTAACTGAAAGTCACCGAGACATTCGTTACGTTACTTTTGGCGGCATCGCATGAAGCCACAGAAATAGATTTCCTTGTGCAATATCGGCATGTATTAAAAATTCGGTGAAGTAATTTGAATTTCGGTGGAATTTTGGTGAGATCATCAACCTTGGATCGTTGAAAGCGAGGTGTGAAGATGGTGTAAGGATAGTGATAACAACGAGGCAGTATCAGTGATAAAACATGGAAAACCCGACGGTTAGAGAATTGAGGTCAAGGTCTCGCTCGAAGACACCCTTCCTGCGGTCGAGCTGCGACCGTGAGAACTGCTTGGATGGCGAGGAGCACACCCATCACAAGGGAGGACGGAAAACACCAGTAAAAAGAAGCACCCCTATCAAGTAAGTACCCTAACCGTTATCACTTACTACCTGGAATCTCTAATCTAGAACAAAACCTAAAGAAGACTATTCTTCTGAGTCTGAGTTTGTGTACTAATGACAAGAACTTCAATTCTTATTAGAAAATAATATCAACATTTTAAGCCATAACTTGAACCTTGCTATCACAGCTTAAAGTATTGGAAATATCAAAGATTACAATGAGATAAACATAAGTTTATCTTTATTTATGTCACAACTATATCAAAGATTGATTTGGTAAGACCCAACATTTTATTTTCATTGATAAAGTGACTTCAATTCATTTTACATGAAAATATGCAAAACTTTCAATCCTGAAAAACACTGGTCAGTGTTAAGGGTACTAAGTTTTTTAATATTATACATTCAAATGTGATCTAAATATTTTTATACCTAAAAACAATTGTTTACTTAATAGTTTCAGCTGTTATAGTTACCAGGATAACAGTGACAATAACAATTCTTAATAATTAAATACAAATATTCATTCATACAACATATTGAAGTCTCATACAATAACATATGGTATGGTGCCTACCATACCAAAGAGGTTTATATTTTATCAATGAAACAAGGTAGAGGAAGAAGGTTTTATAATCAATGAAGATTACACTTTATCATAAACAAGCACCCACAAGTTTTTTTTTAAGATTTATGTGACAGTTTGGTCACAAGGTTATTTAGGGCCCAATTGAGGACAAGTTTTGTGTACAATGATGTCACATCACATAGATTTAAGGTCATAAAGGTATATGGTTTTATAGTGACCTTGTTGCTACTATGCACAGCTCTGATTCTGAGAATATTGGTCATAGATTTATTTTAGTTTAATGTTGTAATGGAAATTGTATTTGCAATGCATGAATAATTATGTAAATAATCGGTCACAAATTTATTATTTATTGAATTTCGTTAATAACTAAGAAATCATATGTAAAACTTGTGAATATTTTATAATGTTCTAATATTCTAATAAAGAAAAGATAAATAATAATTTGACTTAATAAATTAGGTCTTTCTGATAATTAATTATTCCAATTCAAGTTACATGATAAATAAAATAAAAATAGTAGCAATCTAACATTTTAATTAGGACTATCTGATTATTAATTAAACAAAATGTAAACGGATACAAAGTAATCAAATTAATAAATTAAATGCTTTCTTTGATAAGAATAAAATGTGAAGGAGTCTGTAACCTTGGCTAGCGGAAGTGAGTCACTTGATAACACAGACCTGAACCAATATAATTGATATTCCACCAATATTGGACCAAACATTTGTTTTCTGACCAATTAACATGGTAAAGTTGTTTGTAAAACCATGTTGATAGCAGAGTTGGGCAAATTGTAATCAGATTAATGATTAAGGATTACGATTACATTTTGTAATCATCAATCAAGATTACAGATTACGGAAAGTAATCAAGAAAGTAATCATATCGGTGATTAATGATTATTAGTTTGTAATCGTAATTTTGATTACTTTTTTGATTACTTTTTTGATTGATGCATACTAACTACATTTAGGAATTGAGTTACAAAATTTGGTGTAGAATTATTAAAACCACTAATTTTAACTAGTTTTGGCCGACATAATGTACAAATTTCTGAATACGTAAAAAAAATTCCATCAAAAATGATTGGTAATGTCTAAAGTTGTTCATGGTGCACGGTTTCAGATTCTGAATTAGTAGATAAAGACGAAAAAGAACTTGACGCCATTTTACAATAAATACTGATTTTACAATAATAACGTTTAAACACCAAAACACATAGGCCAATACGTCACGGTTTAGACTAGTAAATCAATTTACGTTTATATCCTTGCGCACTATTATACAGACTGACTGCTTGCGCTATGGCATGGTAAAAGCGGGGTGCAGGCGGCGGACGATTGGCTTACCGGCCGTACCCCGTACCCCACCCAACTCCCGCACCCCGCGTGCCATATCTTCGAAATGCAATTGAGCACGCAGAAATTCTTTTTCGAATTTACTTAAGGATTTAAATAACGAAAGAGTACAAAACGTCCATGACATCCAAATTGGATCAGAAGTTTTTAGAAAAACTCAGACATACAAGATACATACTGATTGAATATAGAACCGCATTTATTAAAAATATGTTTAAAAAATTAATCAAATCTACCCATGTAATCAAGATTACTGACTATTGTAATCAAAACTAATGATTACAAATGTAGTCATGATTGAAAGTAATCAAGATTAAAAGTAATCATGATTGATGTAATCATGATTACTTTCAATCAGATTATTAATCCGATTACAAAAGTAGTTGATTACGCCCAACTCTGGTTGATAGTATCACCACTAATATGATAGGCAAACTGCCAGAGATTTGTACTACATAGTATGATGCAGCCAAAACACTATAGCTAGATATGTATAGCAAATCAAGGTCAATTCAACATTTGTTTATGTCAATACACCAGACTGTTATGTTGGTATTTTGTAATCTTCTGGTCATAATTGATGGGCTCATAAATAAGGTAGAATATAAACGTTTATTTCTCTTTTGGGATTTATGAGCTACATAATAAGTCTCAACTGAAATGCTCTTTAGTTTTGACATGCTAATCTACAGAGATTAGCATGTCAAAACTAAAGAGGTACAGACCTAGTAGACATATTGTAAAAAAGCTTTTGTTGGTACTTGATACTCAGTACCAACTCCAAAATAGATTAAGAAATATCCAGAAATATGTAGAATTCATATTCTTGAACAAAAAAACACCCTTGATGACTACAATGCAGAATAACTTAAGTTTGCGATGAGACCTAAATCTTTTCACCTTCTTTCTTATTTCAATTTAAACTTATTTCTCAGGCAACTAAACCAGCCAGCGAGTACAGTGACATCAGAAACGATAACAGAAGTAGAGGAAGAGATCCCGCAACCATTGCACCAGACTCGACAGGCCACTAGGAACGCAGCACAGCTCATCAGGACATCAGACTACTCCTCGGAGGAGAGCCTTGACCGTCTGAAGGGACACTCCAAAGAAGTTGTCCAGGTAAATATAGTTTTAAAACTTTTCATGAGCATTTATCATAAAACCGCTTCCATTACGCCTTGAATGCGACATATAGATGAAGGTATTCTTAGATTCATTTGTACCTACTTTTTTAATTTCATTTCAACTTGGTTGCATTGTTTTTTTTATCAGTTACATAACTGATAATACTCTATATAGACACTAGATTGCGTGCACCAACACCAAAATCGAAATCAGAAGTTAAGGTCATGTAAAATAAGGAATACCGAATAGGTATAGGTATTTGGAGATCGTAATCGATCGTGAAACGTCTGTCATACTTGACGAAGATAAACTTCTTAGGCATTTGCACATACACGCTAATGAATACTCCATTAGTTCATTCATGGACAGCGCGACGCGTGGAAAATGTAAACAAAGGTTGCAATGTCCAAGTCCGTTGTCCACTTAGTTTGCACATGATGTTCTATGCACCTGGCTGTTGTTCTGTCACCACACACCTGTACTATGTTATGTTTATGTTATAACCGCGAGATGTCACGGTCGTAGATGCTATCAAGATGCTAAGAGGTTTATTTCAAATATTTAAAAGAGTATTGAAATTGTAGTTTTGTAGTTCTTCTGACGAGTGCTAAGACGATGCGAATGTTTAATGCATTTAGTATGTATTACTAGATACACATCTCAAACCTAGACTTAGCAATGCTACTGAAATGCGAGTCATAAAACACCGAATAGCAAATCGAATATACAGAACGTCCAATAGACTGAAACACTAAGGGGAAAATCTCGAAATTCCTACGGAGAATCCCGAAAATCCTAAGAAAATCATCGAAATATGGAAATACCTATTCTTTTTTTAGCATATGAAAGCAAAAGCTAGTGAGCAAATAACAGTTTTGACCTATTACCAAGACGTAAATATTAGCTAGGCCACCTGGCCTAACGGGTAACATCCGTAATTCCGTATACATATCAAAATATCAAAGTCAACACGCCTCTCTCGTTGTTTACGTTACTGCAAATCACACATCCATCTGTCCGATATCTGTTTACATAATAAATAATATAGCCCGCAATACAAACCTATTTAATTGCCTCTTTATTTTATTGATAGTGATGTCTTTATAGATCGCATCTCAACTTTACAATCTGCTTTCTATCAAAGGTACTTGTGCACCAGAGAACTCGATGTCAGATTCTTTAGTCCTGTTTCACCACTTCTATTTATGTTTTTGTTAATCTAATTGCTATAGAAATTGGCTTATGAAATCTATGTACAAATTAGGCTTGAGAAACTTATTTGGCGGTTATGGCATTACAAGTCAAACATATGCTCTAAAAATATTAGAAACGGCTTTCAGTGAAGTACTAACTCGCTCTGACTGGCTGATATTATGGGATCACATACTTATTGAAAGGGACTGCGTGGCTATCGTCTTGACCTCCCCTAGCTGGCTAATTCCAGAAGACCGCTAGGCTATCAAACTGGAGTTAGTCGTACTAAAACAGGGCCTTACATAGGTATAAATCCAACCAAGGGTTGTCAGGAAAAAAGATCATCTTGCCATTATTCACATTACCTTGGTTATATTATTTTTTTCTTATAATTTATGTGGAGAATGCAATAAATATGTATGTAGGTACTTACAATAAACTAACATTTTGTACCCAACATTCCACCAGTAAGAATTAGATTAAATGCAACATCGTTTAATTAATTACGAACCGTCTGCTGCATGGCTATCAGCTCATTTAGCATATCACCATGAATGGCATCGGTTTCCGTATAAAGAACGTCATTGGACTAAATTTACTTGAAGCTTTATCTTCAATGCCTACAGTATTAAAAGATTTAGATAAGGAGTGTGCAATATAAACAACAATGTTAAGAGTTCTAGTACCCGGCGATAAATATTGCACAATTGACTTTTATAAAGGGACAATTTTGTTCTACAAAACTTTGTCTTTTTCATCTTTTTATGCTTCGAACAGAGTGCTCATCTAGTTTTAGCGTCACACGATCATGAGTAGTATACGCGGGGGACTTGGTCAATTATCTCTCCATAAAAATTGGATGTGCAATATCTATGGCCGGGTAATGTACAAGCTACGTCGGCCGAATCTAGGAACAAGGTCTACAGAAATACTCTTTGTCGTAACCTTGAGCGAATTTCGGTTGAGTTTATAGTTTATGGCGTATTTAGCAACTTTGTACGAGATGTGTGCCATGATTACCTACTTGTCGGATTTAAAATGTACATAAATATGGACTTGTAAAGTCGTAACTCTTAACCTCATCAGATCAGAGAATTCAACGTATATTTACAAGTAGAGCTTTAAAATAACAGCTCAATCGTTGATTCTATAAATTTTAATTAAAACTTGTAATAGTGGACACGCTAGGGTTGCATGTTTCGGGTGCATTAAACATTTTAACCGCTTTAATAAAAAGTCGCATTTGTATATTAGCCGCACCTCACCGTGTAATGCCGTTAGTCTGCCGTGCCTCCAATAGTACGTGTTTAGCTTATGAAAATACTTTATTATAGCGGTTTTTTAAGGCCTAGAAAAATCTCGGTTCTCTTTGAACAGCATCGGTCAAAAATATTTCTATACTTTAAACTTTGTACGCAAAATAAGCAGCTGCGACCTATAACCGAGTGTTTCACCCTAGATACTTGTAGCTTGCGTCACGCCCTAAGCAAACACCAGTAATTGTTGTTACAAGGACTCGCGTACGTATTTATGGGAACCAAAACCGGCACTTGGTTGTAGTCTTTCGCCATGTCTGCATTACGAACAAAACGTTCGCGAATTCCGACATATTTGTTTTTGCTTTTCATTCGCCCGCTGATGTAAAATGAACAGTACGCAAACATCGTTCCAAATATTCAATTTACTTAGTTTGTTGACCTCATAAATAAATCAATAAACGCTTTTAACCTTCATCATAATTATACTTTCAAGTTTATATGCACCGCTATCTCTTGTCTTAATGTTTAAGATAATCCCATCTCTATTTGCTTAGATCGTTCACCTCCTTTCAAGTTCAGCTGCACTATGCTCGTCCGTCTTAATTGAAAAGCAATTATAACCGAAACATAAATAACAATCAAGCAATTGAACTTAACAGACGCCCACATGTTCGTCTAACAGACGTTTCCTCCTGCTTACACTCCTTATATTTAAGCAGTTTCCGCCAGTAACCGCATAAAGTAATGTTAATGTATTCTATTGTCACACAGAACAGTGGCAATAAACCTGAATCGATTCACATTAGCATTCAGTCACGGAAGTCTAGAACAATATGATAACACTACACTACTTAGCTATTGAATCTAAATATTCAGCTTTGAAATGCGCGCGCTATTAGCGACCGGCGCGGCGACCACCCAACCACCAGCCAGACGCGCTTGACACTTCATATTTACAGCATTTGGTCTTGAAAAATAATGAACATGACCGTTAGATAAACACCTACATTTCGACGACACAATAATTTATTGTTAACTGAGCTTAGTAACGCTATGCGCTTACTGGCCGCCGGTCCTGCCGGTAAGCACTAGAAACAGGAAAACATAGCGATTATCCTTCCAAATATAACTGGAATCAAACTTCCCCCGCGTGGTTTATTTTTGAATTGCCCATACTTCACGTATGGGGATTATTATTTCAAGCCATCTGGCGCCTTACAGTCGCTACGCGTTGATAGCACAGTGCATTAGTTTCTTAGCAAGGATAGTAATAATTACTAATTTAGGAGAGTGATTCCAATTCCAAGATTCCTGACCTAGTTTTGGGTGTGGTGCTTAATTTAGAAATATCCAAGGATCGTGTAGAGGGAGGCGCGGTGCTATGAAGTTGCTATGGTGATCCGGTGAGTGAATTTACGCAATTGTAGTGTATCAATCGATATGCGGTTAGTTCAGTGAGGTCTGTGTGCGTTGAAGATGTTTTCTCGGGCGTTCAAGGTCGGTTACTGATTAGCCCACATACATAAGTGTAGTGCATGCATACATTATCTAACGCTCGCTACGGTTGTCTGTACTTTAAATTCTCCGTCACGTCGTCGCTGGTTGTTTTTTTTCAAATCAAATCAAATCAAATCATTTATTTGCACAAAACATGGTAGGTAACAAGATGTTGAATAAAATGTTTATGTACAGCATGTTTTGCCGTGGAACACAGCGCGCAAAAGTATTATTAAATGAAATACATTAATACGAATGAGTCATTTTACAATATAATCAAATTAGTATTAGATAAATAAAAATTTCATGAAAATGTCAGTTAATCAAAGTGAACGTCAAGTCAATTAGGTATACATTTAATTTAATTTAAAGAATAATATGAGATACAATTACATATTAAAATTATTTCATTTAAAAATTCATGAATAGTATAATAACATTTCTTGGCCAGAATTATTTTCAATTTATTTTAAATAATCTTACATACAATTTCTAATATCATTAGGAATTTTATTATATATTTTTGGCGCCATACATAATACGCTTTTTCGTGCCAGAGTAGTTTTTGCACTATGCAGACACAGTCTATTACTATTAATTTTGCGCCTGTTTCTTTTTACCACATCAGAAATTTGTTCAAATAGATGAGGGTTTTTATGAACAAACAGTGCTGTCTCTAATATGTATAATGACGGAAGTGTTAAAATTTATGTGCTATAAAGGACGGTTTACAAGAGTCAGTCGAGTCCAGGTGAAACATGGCTCGTATGCAACGTTTTTGGGCCTTAAAAACAGCGCATTATCTGTTGAGTTTCCCCAGAAGATTATTCCATACCGTAAGACAGAGTCAACAAGGCCGTAGTAGGCCGTGAGTGAAGCATCGATGTTCACTACTGGGGCCAATCTGTACATAGCATATGCAGAACTGCTCACCTTTTTGCATAATTTTGCTATATGCGCCTTCCAATTCAACTGCCTATCGATAGTTAGGCCTAGGAATTGCGCTGATTCTACCTCGTGTATAGGGTTACTATCGTAATCTAT